CATGTAATAGTGAGGACAAGGCTTCTCCAGCATCCACTCAGTGCATCCCACCTGCCGAGCTCTGTGGGGTGTGGAGAGGCCCAGGGTGCAAAGTCTGAAGAGCAGACAGGGCCTACCACTCCACAGGCTTATAGGGGCCTCCAAGGGCAATTCTGAGCAGCACTGAGTAACCATATTCTTTGGGCGTGTCCAAGGCCTGTGTACCCAGTGAAAACCAGAGGTGACTCTGGAGAGAGAAGTCTGTCTACTCCCAGCTTTACTAGGGAGCCTGGCTGAGAGGTATTTGCCGATTATTCTTCCATACACCCACCATGCAGACCCCATGGTCATGGATCTAATAATATACACCCTGTGCTACTATGTTCCAGGCAAAAGCCCCAGCCATACCTCTTCCCAGCTGACTTCTGGCAAGTTCCAGGGCTATTGTAGCTCTGAGACACATTAAAGAATGAAGTGACTTTGGGGCATCCTGTGCCAAAACCCATCCTGCCTTCCCCACCCCCACCCCCACTATCAACTACTGTCATCCTTCGGTTTCATTGTGAGACAATGTCGTTGTCAAAGTTCTGAGAATGGATCTGTCAGCCAAGGCACAGACAGAAAATTTCAGCCAGCTGGAGCTGGGCTAAAGAACTTCATGGTTTTAGCTTGGGGCGGGCGGGGGGGGGCTGACTGCACAGGTGCTCTGAGGGAGTGAGACTAGAAAATGGGCCTTGTGGGCGCAGGCCATACACTCATACACTGTCTTCTGACCTCCACAGGCATTGCATGATACGGCTGCTTTTCATGCACGCAGGCCATACACTCATAAAATAACCAAAATCATAAATAAAATACCTTGAAAAGAAAATGGACCTGCAATGAAGTCAAAGTCCCCATCGACAGCAGACTCTCTCCTTCCTCAGGGTGCCTTCAAAATGTCTGAGCCAAGTCTACCCAACTGTCTCAAATTATCTCCCTCATTTAAAGCCACCCATGATGGGCCTTAACCACACCATGTCCCCACAGCAGTAGTGAGGCAGATAGATGTCTCATTAAGGGAGGAGCCCAAACAAGGTCTGCCAGAGGCCACTGGCAGGTATAACTCTCCTTCCATTTCTTTACTGAAGAACCACTGTGCTGGACACACAGCTCATTACAGATGCCTGGGACTGGGAAGTGACCTCACACTTCAATACAGATCCTAATCTCCTACAGCACCTGAGTTTGCATTAGAATGTCTTGAGGTTTAGACGTGAAGCACTTGATCTTCAAGGTCCTCTGAGCAGGTAGGCATTAACCCCCAAGGAAACAGCATGGGAGAGTAAAGAACCATTCAAGTTCACTGGCCAGTGGTGGGAGATGCGAGAGTCACCCAGGTCTGACAATAGAGCTAAGCCTTTGGCCTGGAATTCACTTGCCTTCAGTCTTCCTGCCACAGTGACCTCAGGGCTCTGCACAGAACAGTAGGACTGTGATGTAGGAGAGGGATGCAGAGCCAGTGCGGCCCACCAAACTTCTCTGCTTCATCTTAACTGAGGTATAAACATCTTGCACTGTGCATGGATCTTGTATTTTGCTTACTTTGCAATGAATATAGGTACATTTATGTCTGATTGCTGATGACAATCATTATTTTTAAAAATTGTCAGCCCAGAGCTGAGGCAATGACTCAGTGGGTAAAGTGCTTCTTTCCACACAAGCTTGAGGACCTGAGCTCAGATCCCCAGAACCCACACAAGGTCAGATACAGTGTCACAGATCTGTAATCTTAGCGCTTCTCTAAGGAGATGGAAGGTCGAGACAAGAGTCTCCAGAAGTTCACAGGCCAGGTAGCTTGGTGTAGATGGCCACAAACCACAAGAGACCCTGTCTCAAGGTACAAGGCCAAACACTTCTGTTGTCGTCTGACCTCCACAGGTATGCTGTGATATGCACATGCCTGCTCACACACAAGAATATGCACTTACTCATACATCTTACAGAGAGAGAGAATGAGAGCGAGCGAGTGAGCGAGAGAAAGTACAGTCACCCTAGCCTTTCTAGCATCTTTCTTTTCCTTCCTTCCTTCCTTCCTTCCTTCCTTCCTTCCTTCCTTCCTTTTCCCTTTCTTCTTCTTTTCTTTCCTTCCTTCCTTCCTTCCTTCCTTCCTTCCTTCCTTCCTTCCTTCCTTCCTTCTTTCTTTCTTTCTTCTTTTCTTTGTCTGGGCATGTTGGTGCATACACACCTGTAATCCTAGGGAGTTGGAAGCAGGATGACCAGATGACCAGGAGTTAAAGATCATCCTTAGCTACATACAGAATTAGAGGCCAACCTGGGCTACATGAGACCAAATCTCTCTGAAACAACTAAAAATAGCAACTCCTCAAACTCCTCTATACATTGATATATAACCTTAGTCTGTTCTTGCTGCTAAAACACATACCTTACATGGGTAGTTTATAGCAACAAACATTTATTTCTCACAGTTCTATAGGTCAGAGTCAAGGTCTATTTATGGTCATTATAAATTACCCAGTTCCAGGCATTCTGTAATAGCAACACAAAACAGACAAAGCCAGCATTTCTTTTTGTAAATATGTGTATGTTTTAGTTCTTTCTCTTATCACTGTTAACAGATCCCTGAGAAGAAGGAACTTACAGGAGAAGAGGGTTATTTTGGCTCATGGTTCAAAAGGGCACAGTCTCTCATGGTTGGGAGGCATGGTAGGTGGCTCCTCAGTGGCAGGGGCTGCTTATTACATAGTATTGACCAAGAAACAGAGACAAGACAGGAAGGAGGGTTGGAATATAAACCTTAATGCCCACCCTCCAGTGGCCTACTTCCTCCAGCTAGGCCCCACTCCCTAAAGGTTCCCTCCAAAACAGGGTCACAGGCTAGACCATGTGCTGAAACACAGAAGTCTGTGGGGGCATTCCACATCCAAACCCTCACAGTGGCTTGGCTGGCCTTTTCATTTTAACCATGCCATGAGTTGGGTAGAAACTGTAAATCCTGATGAAGTCCATTTAATCCTTTTCAAGTGTTTCATGCATTTTGTGTCCTATCTGAAGATCAGTAAGATTTTTTTTCCTACTTCTAGAAACTTTATACATTGTTAACACTTAAGTCTGTGATCAATTTTGAATTCCTAGATCCCATTTTTCAAAGATTTATTATTTTTAATTATGTGTATGTATGTGTGTGCCTGTGCATGTGAGTCCAGATGCCCTCAGAGGTGCTGCCCATGGCAGCCAAAGGCCTCAGAGTCCCTGGAGCTGTAGTTATAAGCAGTCATGAGCTGCAGACATGGGTGCTGAGAACTGAACTCAGGTTCTTTGCAAAAGCAGTACGCTTTCTTAACTGCCAACCCATCTCTTCATCCCCTAAATTCCATTTTTAATTCTAAGATTATTTTAAGTTTTTAAATACATATTTTCTGTGACTAGTACCCCAACCCTGAATCCTTACACCATTTAGGTTTCTTTGTAACATTTGGGTTTCTTTGTAACATTGTTTTTTCATTTGTAACATTAGTTTTCTTTGTAACATTGTTTAGATGCTTAAGATGCTTAGGATGAATGGACAGGGGCAGGTGAAGACTTACAACACACTGTTCTCAGCATCTGACAAACAGGCAGATAGAAACAATCGTGATCTGACTGATATGAACAGAACATTACAGCAGCAAATTTAGAAGAGTGGTTTCACTGAATAACAGATGCAGTTCAAAGTTCACAGCACATTTGCCAAAACACAGTGCTGGCCATGAAGTGTCTTCACAAATTTTAAAGATTAAAATAATATAGATTATATAGTCCTAGGTCACAGTGGAATTAAGCTTTACTTACATAAATAAATATAAATACATTTCTATAATAAAAAAGTCCCTAAATATTTGATAATAAAGCCTAACTTTTCTTGGTATGCCTTTTGTCAAAAAGGAATCAAAATGGAAAACCTCAGGTTCCCACCTCTGGGCTTACAAATGACCACAAGAGACTGGACAGGACTTGGGCCAATCTGAGCCCCTCTGACGAGCTCTACCCCAGGCCCTACTCAACGGTTCTTCCCCAAAACATCTCAAGCCCTGAGCCCAGGAAGTTGCTCACAGCCTGGTGGGAGTGCAGTATGCTCCATGGAGAGAAAACACTTGGGTCAGAAAACATCACCAGATCTTCTTGTGTGGGGAGCAAAGCAGGCGATATATTCATACACATAAAATAAAAATATAAATTAAAAAAAAATTTTAAAGTATGGATGTATTGCCCATATGTATGTAAGAGCACCCGTGTCATACAATGCCCTCGAGGGCATCAGATCCCCTAGAACTGGAGTTAGGATGGTTATTAGCTGCCATGTCGGTGCTAGGATCTGAACCTGGGTCCTCTACAAAAAGCAGTCTGTGCTCTTAACTGCTGAGTCATCTCTCCAGCCCAGGAAGTATCTTTTCTGATTGGTTCATGCTGTGGTGTCTTCACCATCCTAGGTGAGAGAAAGCATTTGGAAATAATTCAGTCCGTTCCTATAACTTTAGCAAGTGCTAACAAACATCTATGAAATTCCACCTTACCTAGCTCAGTAACTTACCCAGTCACAGTAGTCTCTGTTTGATTTACAAAGTTTTCAGAGAAGTAACTTAGCACAGAGCACATCAGCTTTAAGGGCACTTAATGTTGTGGCATTTAGCACAGTAAATAACTCTGAGTTTATTCTATAATTGAGTGGGATTAGAGTCTCTAGGAGGTCTGGCCCTTCCGAACTGACTTTGCTTCTATGAACCGTGTTGGTGGGACGTGTACAAGTCTAGCTTGGGACACATGTTTGCTAAATATTACCAGGTACCAGATCACATTCTTTGATGGTCGGTTTCTTTCCTTAGTAGTAGTTTAATAATTTGCTTCCCTTTACGGTTACAAAACAAAGGTTCCCTCTGGGAAATTCCAGTGGCCCCAGGGCCCTTCCAGATTATCCCAGAGCTTTCTGTGCAGACGTCTGCAGACCTTCTCACACCTGCAGGGCCCTTGCTGTGGTGCTCCCGCGCCCCCACAGCGCCACCCTTCCAGGACTAGCGAGGGGCAGAGGCTAGGCGCTCTCCGGAATCGCTTCCTGCTCTAGGGAGCTGTGCAAGTCTGGAACTCAGGTCCGGAAAACAAGCGCTTCCTGGCGATAGGCAAGCTGCGAAACTGCCGGCAGCAGTGAGGTCACGGTCTGCGTGTCCAGCGCCTCCACTTGGTCCGCCCAGGGGCAGCTGACGCCGAGGAGCCGAGACCGCCAGGGAGGGGAGGACTGAGCAGTGAGGGTGGGTGCTCACGGTCGGAGGGGTGGTCCTCCTGGAGCCCGGTGCCCACCGGGGCCCGGCTAGGGGTCGGATGCTGCGGTCACGGTGGGGGAGGGTGCTCCCCGCGCCCCCTGCCCACGGGAACCTAGATCCGGGCGTGAAGGGCAAAGCGAGGGCGGATGCTCGGGCGGGGCAGCGCTCCGGTCCAGACACCGTCCACGTCCAGGCGTCCGAAGGGGGACGCGGCCCTGCGGCCCAGCTGCTGTCCTCCCCGCGCCCCTTCCCCACCCCGGCGCCTGCCCGCAGCACCCCTCCCACGCGCGCAGCCTCCGGGAGCGCTGGGCGGGGAGCCGGGAGAGGGCGGCGGCCACGTGGCCTCGCAGGAATGCGCGGGCGTGAGGGCGGGGCGCGGCCGGGTGACTGGCAGAAGTGTCGACCAGTGGACGGCAGGCCCGGCCCAGACCGGCCAATCCCGGCGAGGGGGCGGGGCCTCCGCGGGCGGGTGGGCGGGGCGGGCATCTCCCGCGGGGGGCGGCGGGGGGCGCGGGACGGCCGGCGGACGTGGACGGAGGATCGCTCCCGGCCCCTCGGTGAGTGAGCGCCGCGCCCCGGGCCCCCGGCTGCTGGCAGGGCTGCCCAGCTCTCCGACACGGCTGCGTCCTTCCCTGGTCTGTGGGACCTGCGGGCGGAGCGGCACGGACCGCAGCGAACAGCGCCCCCCCCCCCAAGTTTGGCGGCTGCCCCTGGCCCGGGACTGCAGGGAGCGCCCAACTGCAGCTGCCTCCGCATTCGGCCGGTGTTCCCTTGTCTAGGCCCAGCGGCTAGCAGCCCCTTGACTTCAGCGGGCGTCCCTGGACACAGGGCAGCAAATAGCGCCCCTAAATCAGCAGGTGACCCCTAGGCACAGAGGAGTTGTCCCTTACCATCGAGGTGTCCCCAGGTACAGGTGGGGTAGCGAGCAACCCCTAGTTTTGGTAGGTGTCTCTAGACGCAGGACAGTGAGCAGCCCCCGCCCCCCCGTTTTCGTGGGTATCCATAGACATAGGGTGGTGAGCAGCCCCCCAACCTCAGTGGGTGTCGCATCCCCCTGCATCTCCAGTGTCTCACTCTCCAGAGGATGAGGCTCCAGGTCGTATGCAGCAGGCATCTTCAGCTCCAGACCTGGAGGCTTGGGGTGAACCCGAGGGGCAACCAAAGTTGCATTAGGAAAGACAGATTGGGGTGTTTGCATGGGGATATTTAGGACGGTAATGTCGGCTTTTGGGTTAAGGCAACTGCTGTTTGCCGCAGCCCACCGTTGCTCAAGAATCGAGGCAGATCTGGATCGGATCGGCAGTAGGTCAACAGGTGGCCTGCTTACTCCCCCTGGCCCCTGGCCACTCTGTGGGACCCTTAGTTTTGAATGCAGAAGTCTTAAGTCAATGTTTGGGCATTTAATAGGCTGTCAGGTTCCCAGAGGGCAATAGACATTCTTGTTGCAGTCTGATGCAGTGTGCATCTCAGTTACCAGTTTTTGCTGGAGGTAGAGATCATTAACTCAAATGACAGCAGGCTTTTCCTTCTTTGATGGGGCTGCACAGTAGCTGTGTAGCTGGGTTTAGATTCTGGGCAAGAGTTCCCTAGTTTCCCTGAAAGGAGAAAATCACAGAACACCACATTTTTTTTTTCTTTCTTTCTTTCTTTTTTCTTTTTTTGGTCTTTTTGAGACATGTCTCCCTGTAGCTCCAGCTGTCCCGAAACTTACTGTGTAGACCAGGCTGGCCTTGAACTCCCAGAGATCCACCTGCGTCTGCCTCCTGAGTGCTGAGATTAAAGGTGTATGCCACCACGCCTGGCAAGGGACCACATTTTCACAGGTTGGTGGATCTTTTGTTGTTGTTTTGGCAGTGCTAGGGCCTTCTGTATGCTAAGCATGAGCTCTACTACTGAGCACCTTGCACATGCTAGGCAAATGTATTGCTGAGCTACATCCCCAGCCTGTTAAAAATCTACCTTGGCGCCTCAGAGCCTGGGTTAGGTGGATCTTGAGTTTGAGGCCAGCCTGGGCTACATGGTGAGACCTTGGGAATATAACCAAACAGATATACAATGCTGGGGTGTGCCTCAGAGGTAGAACACTTGCCTAGAATGCAGGAGGCTCTGGTATCTTGAACATCTGGTTTAACAAAAATCTTTTTTTGGAGTTTTTGAGACAGGGTCTCCCTGTAGCCTCAGCTGGCCTGGAACTTCATATGTAGACCAGGCTGGCCTTGATCTCACAGAGATCTCTTTCTGCCTCCACCATGCCTGGCAACAAAAATAATTTTTATTAGAAAAGGTTATTGGGATTTACACTTAGTATTTTAAAAAATGTGCCACCACTCTGGCCCTAACAGCTGTCAGTCATTTCATTGTCCTCAGTGACCAACATCTAAGTTACATTATGGGAAGTCACTGTCAGACCAAAGTTTGTGACTTGTGAGCAGGAATAGTCATTGTATAAGGTAAAGCTCATCATTTATTACAGACCAGATACTGTAGAAGGAGTTTTAGACAGTGGTGAGGTGAAAGTCCGTTATCTAAAATAGCTGCTTTTGAGGTACTGGGGTTAGAACCGTGGCCTCACACTTACAGGCATGCTCTACCACTGAGCTACATTCCCAGCCCTCTTTGTCTTTTAAAGTTGATTCTTCTAAATTTGCCAAAGGTATCTTTTGGTGTTTTGTTGTGGTTCTTTGTGGTGAGGTTACAAACTCTGGTGGTTCCAGACGGAGATGCTCTGGGTGGGAAGGGCTGGCTATGTGTCTGAGCCCTTGGGTCGTCTGGTGGAGTGTGTACTAGCTCTGAGCTGTCCACTCCAGGTTCAGGACTGTTCACATGTGAAGCTGCTGGGAGGCAACATGTATGAAATGCTTCTACACCTGTAAGTGCTCTACACTTAAAACTGGGGCTGTCGTCATCTGTAAATAATAGCAAAAACCATTTTCACAATCAAAAGAAACCTCTGTTGTATGGTACATCATTCTTAATTGCACAACTCATAATAGTAAGCATGCAATGGAAGGTTCTGTCTAGAGACTCAGAGCAAGTTAATGTGCATTCCTAAGTACAGTCTGCCTGGGTAGAGAGGTAAGCAGGGCTGAGTTAGACAAAGGCAAAGGTACTGTTAATTATTGTTGGGGTAGAATTACAACTCTTAGGAGCTACACCCTCTGGAGATATGATTTTGAGACAGTGCATTGGGATGGGAGTTCTAGGACAGCTTGGCAGGGTCTGAAATGACCCCTTAGAGGGCCTGTGTACATCTGTGGGTGGGCTGCAAGGTGAGGGCTTGAAGGGCCTGACCTGTGGATGGGGTCTGGACTCTGGGCTCTAGCCTCTGGGGATATGCAGGGACACAGTGTACCCAGGGAAGGGCTTACCATCAGCCCCCACCCTGCGTACACCCTCCTCAGAGTCTCCTGCCCCACCCCACTGACTTAGCGTTCCACAGTCGCCTGGCCTAGATGCTGACTTTTGCTTCTTTCTGTATGTGAGTTTTCAGATCTTGAGTATGAAATAAAGCAGTCATTTTCTTAGTCATTTTTTTCATTTGCTGATTCTTGCTTTTGTGTCGTTAATGTTTACCTGGTTGTAGAAAGTGATGTCTGTGGGTAGTTATGTTTTTATTAAACAATGGAAGAAAGTAAAATATTTTAAAAATTCACCTTCTGATATGGGAAATTATTCAGGCTATAAAATATGTCACCAAAAGCTGTGATCAAAGCCAGGTGTGGTTATACACACCTGTAATCCCAGCACTGGGGAGGCTGAGGCAGGAGAATGGCAAGTTTGGGGCTAACCTGAACTACATACAGATTTGTCTCAAACCCAACAAAAGGCTGTGACAGCAGTGGCCCCTGTGGGGCGGCATGGGCAAGTGTGGGTAGAGTGTGTGTCTGCCCCATGGACATGACCTGGCTGGGTCAGTGCCCCGTAGAGAGATGAGGTGCTGCTTGGCCTGTGCAAGGCTTCAGTCCTGAGGATGGGCAGTCACATGTGGGCTGGGGCTGTGGAGACAGTAGTGAGGCCCTGTAAGTGTCCACTCCTAGCTGTAGAGAACCAGGTCTCAACTCGGGCCACAGTGCGGGCCACAGGAATGAAGTTCTATTTTCTCTCTGTGCCTGGCTGGAGTGATCAAGTTTCCTCCCACCCCCCCCACCCCCCCAGTTTGGACTGCTGGGGATTGAACCCACTGATCCGCAGCTCCCATTTGCTTTGAGATGGAGCACTGAAGAGAAAGGTCTAGTTTGTGTTGTGTCTTATTGGTGTGGGTAATTAAGACTATATATGAAATCAGGTGTGGTGGCTCATACCTGTTATCCTAGCATTCATGAGGCTGAGGCTGGAGGATTGCCTCAAGTTTGAGGCCAGCCTGGGCTATAGTGTGAGACCCTGTCTGAAACAAACAAAAAATAAAAAGGCTGATACGGGACAGGCCAAGGAGACAAATGTATATAATCATGTTTGCAGTGCTGAGGCTCAAACCCAGGACTTGTCCCAGCCAACCAGGTGCTCTGCCACTGAGCGGCATCCCCAGCTGACGGATTATATTTTGATAAAATGTGCTGCGACCACTTATGTTTTTCTTGGTTTACTTTTTTCTTTCAAGGAAAATGGAGTTATGATTTCAGTTTGGTTTCTGATTTTCTTTAAAGAATGTAAGAAAAGTGAATTAAAAGTGCATTAGAGGTGCTGATGTGGTCTTTGGTGCTCACCTGAGCAGTTCAAAGCTCAGACTGGAAGTCACAGTCTTTGGAGAGGATGAATGTTCAGATGTCAGCATTGTGTGTGTGTTTGGGGCGGTGCTCTCCCAATAGGCCAGGCCTCAAGTTACTCTAGTGGCTCTAACAAGGCCTGAAAATGTTGGCATTTGCTCAGTGGTCCTGATTGGGATGCTGGGGGCCAGTGCAGCTCCAGGCAGGGGATTCCAAAGCTGAACAACTCGTCTCCTAAGGCCAGGGTTTGTGAGAACCCTGAGCCTGACTGGGTCAGTGGGGTCA